TTATTATTATTATTATTATTATTATTATTATTATTATTATTATTATTATTATATTACTATATTAATTATTTTATTATTATGGGAAGACACATTACTCATAGGATTATACAAAGTCTCTGAAATGAAAAATAATCGCGTTGGATCCAAGGAAAGGGAGAGCAGCTTCAATTCCTTATATTAAATGTTACATGGCATTAAAAGAAAATATTTTTTTCCTAAGGAAGAATTATAATCATAGCAATTCTCATAGCACGATATGAAAATAAATACATTTAGGTTGCATATTCAGCGGAGTTGTAGGTATATATAGGAGTTTCTGAAGTATATGTGAAGAATTATCAAAAATAGCTTTCAAGATATTTTCACTCAATTAAAATAATTTTTTTTATAAAACCTACAAAGCAAGTCAGCCTCTTAAAAAATGCACATTATTGTGCACATAAGAACATGTATAATCCAGTAAGGATGTACATACTTGGGGCCTTAAATTTATTGTTCTTTTGTTGCAACATGACTTGACATGAGCGAGAATGTGTAAACCTTATAAACTGCTAATACTTCAGAGTCTTTATTTTGGGTAATCTTATTAATATATAGGAAAATTAAGCTTTTGGAAGTCATATTAAAAAGTTTCATACGACAGAAATTGCATTATCTTGTCAAATATCAATATCAATATATATATATATATATATTATATAATATATATATATATATATATATAAATATATATATATATATATATATATATATATATATATATATATATACATACGTATGTAAGCAGGAAATGCAGTTCTAATGACGAGTAGTTAAGGGGGTACTCAGAACTTCATGTCCTGTGCAAATAACAGAAAACAAACAAATTAATGTTCCATCTCTTAGAACTACATAATCTTCTCAATTGAATAACATCCAGTGAAACCAATTCCCCCCTTACTCCCTTCCCCCCTATTTTGACGGATCATCTTGCAGTTAAAAGTGTTCATAATAAGAGGAGTTAACTCCTCCACTTACACACTAATAGCAAACAAGCTATACGCTAATATCTAAGTCAGGGCTTAAACTATCAAGGTATGTATATTGAGAAATACACATTTTTCGCTGTATATACACATTTGTATGTAACCTAGTATAACTCTTAGATAAGAATAATAACCTTGACCGAAATAAACTTAGTGGGGAACATTATACACATAACCGGCACATAGGAGAGAGCAATTTACCACAGTGTTTTGGGTCCACTTGAATTATTTACAAGTCGCACAAAAACACGAAGGTGTTAGTGTGATTTTGTAAATGGTCCAAGTCGAAACGAAACGTTGGTATGAGCTTCTCTCTCTCCTGGCTCACGTTTGCAAACAAACCATGCCACGGGTGGGGAGAGAACCTGCGATCAGTCATAAAACTCCAGCTGGCCATTAGACCAGCTGGAGTTTTATGACTAATGGCCAGCTGGCTACAATAAGAGTCATCCAACTAGGTATATTTATACACCATTGGAAGGTTAACATAAGCACCACTGTGACCACAAATGCAAGTTTTTACAGACGGATCTCCAGCTAGCGTGGCTATGACTAACTCTAGTTCAAGTCCCGTCAAAGCCATCATCAGGGTTTGCTTGCAATCGTATCACTACGATTTCGTGAGTCATGATGACGGCTTTGAGGGGACTTGAGCTAGAGTTCGTCACGGCCACGCTAGCTGGAGGTTCGTCTATAAAAACTTGCATTTGTGATCATAGTGGTGTTTATGCTATCCTTCCTATGGTGTATAAATATACCTAGTTGGATGAATCTTAGTGTGGCTTCCTGTCATTGATTATAATGCGAAAATCTCATCCAACTCCTCAGAGCTGGGGCACGTTCCCAAAATGCAGCTGTCATTACCCCTCTGAACAGCAGCGCTGAGTCGCTGGAACAGGAAACTAGCTGCCCTGGGATCCCTAGTTACCCTGATGAGTCTTTTGCCTAGCTCCTTAAGGATGCACTCTTTCCCCATGAGCCAAGGGTCTCTGAGCCTATGCGAACAAAGATATAATGATGGGCAAGTTCTCCATATTTTCTAGACTTTTGTGACTCCCTGAAGCTGGCGGTTGCCCCTCCTTCTTCCCTGGTGTATTGGAGATAGGTATCAGCCAAGATAGATGCACATGTGTAGTCCCACACCACCTGCTTACCGTCTGTCCAGGCTTGAAGGGTGATACCATCTCGACGCCTTTGGCTGCCATCAGATCTGCATAGTTGGGGTGGCTCCCTTACTGCTGGGCATCCGGCTGTTGTGAGGCTCCTCTTGATAATGCTATTAACCTCCTCATGTCTTGCAATCTTTCCCTCGGATTTACGGCACACAAGACCATGGTACCCGAATCGGTCTGCTGCTTCACTGCCACAAATACACCTGTGTTCGGCGAGATTAGGGACGGAAAGTCGAAGGGCAACACCAATGCGGATGGTCTGTGGGTCGAGGCATGTGCCACTGGAGTTGGGAACAGCCAACAGAAAGTCCTCTGCATGAGAAGCTCTCACTGCCAGGAGGCAGTGGCTATATTATTGAGACTATATTCTCCACTATTGGGCCATCCCGGTGCGACTGTTTGTAGTTGTTGGGGGAGAGCAGGTCTGGTTTCAGAGCCCGTTAGATTATCCCAGATCACGGCTCTGTCAATGAACTTTTGGTCCTGGACTCCAATCTTGTCCCTAAGATGTTCAGGGAGATCGCTGCTACAACCCCTCTGGATACAATGCGTGAGGACAGAAAAGAAGGTAGTGCAATCTGTTTATATATATATATATATATATATATATATATATATATATATATATATATATATATATATATATATATATATATATATATATATATATTATATATATATATATATACCCACACACACACACACACACACATATACTCACCAACGCGCGATGATAATGAAGCACTTTAGTAGCTCTACTGTCCCATGATGGGCAGATTCGACTCGCATACAATCACACTCA